AAAAATTGTGGTACTCCGCAAGACGCGTACAGAGGTTGAATAAAACATGCATCTATTACGCTGATTGGTATTTGACTATTATTATGTGGATTGGGTTTGGCGGACAGGCAGATTTATTTCAACATTTCCCTTTTAGGATCGTTCGGGGATTGGATAGACAGCGTTTTATATGTAGTTTATATGCAATAAACCCCTCAGCTCATTCCCATTAAGCAATGTGACATAGAATTCATCGGGAAAATACACATGATCTTTGTCAAATTAGAAGAACGAAGGATTTGATTCGAGTATATGATGAGGCGTAAGCTAAAAGCTAAAGCACTGCGCGAATCCATCAACCCCGTGCCAGGTGCGCGCAAGTGCCCTGCCTTTGAGATGCTCTCTTTCATTCGACTCGCATGCGATAAAATGCTCCCTACGAACGGTGTTGTTTCACGTTGACCCAGTCTGTTGAAATGCTCCACAGAGAACCGGAGAAAGTGGAGCTCTCACAAAGTTCGAGCGTACCAAGAATTTTGACACCGGTTTGAGGAATGTACCGAACACATCAAACTAAGCAAATAACCCATTCCCCACTCACCCGTTTGTCTCAGGGTACACTGAGACTGGCAGGGTTCAGACTGACTTGTATGCAGTAACTGCCTTTTTAAACAAAGAAATAGGTACTCGTGGTTGTCTCAATTCAATACGTGCAATTCAATGGAAAGTGAAATTAAATCACAAAACTTCTGCCATGCTAATCACTCATTTCCATAGATGCATTTTAATGAGTGTTTCCTAATGATTCGTCCAACTAATGCGCCCGCGAACCGTCGTCGAAATCGAGAAATCCGAGGTTCGTAAAACATTTTATTGAACCATTCAGCCATAAATAAGTGGACCTCATGATAAAAATGTTGTGTGCGATGAGCGACAATAAAATGCGCGTTCCGGTGCACCAGACCCAAAACCTGATGCATAGAGGTCAAGAGATTCGGGCAAAAATAACGGTGAGTAATGGAGGGGATTTGGTTCAAGTTCAACGGTGAATTCGTCGTGTCTATGGCAAAAGAAGCGTGAAGTGAAAATCTAGGAAGCACCAGTGGACAGCTGTTTCGACTCCGTTGGGTCTAATCAGCACAGTGCGAGAATTCATCAGCCCAACTGGGGATCGCGAACCCGGGACCTCACAAGTAGAACACAAGCGTGTTACTTACTCGGTCAACGGGCAGCCGATCAGACCGCTTTTCAGTTTCCATTTACACGATATAGCATAACCCATTTTTGCAAGCTTCTGGCGTGCCACAGACCCTACTCATCTCAGCACCAAACTCCGGATTATGACTCGGTTGGAAACGTTCACAACCTGACTAGTTATTTCAACTTATCTCAGCTGCTCGGTGGCTGTGTGAGTAGTGCGTTCTGCCCGTGAGGTACCGGGTTCGATCCTCAGTTGGGTTGATGGATTCGTAATGCTGATGTGACCCAATCAGGTCGAAATAGCTTCTTACAGGTGATTACTCTCTGATAAGCCACACTCAACTGTGACTGTCACTGAAATTGACGCGACGTTTTGCACAGCGACAAACTACTAACTGATACACAAATGCTGAATACAATCCACTTACTACTTAGCAGGCAATCTAATCCTGTTTTAGGTTGACATTTTGCTAATAAGTCAGAACACGATCTGGTGCCCCAGTTTCACTCATCGTTGGTGTAGTGACCTTAAGAGCGAAATGCAAAATGAGCGAAGCTATAGGACTGCAAAATCAGCTTCTCTCGCGAGCCTACCGCGTATCGAAAATTCTAATGTTCTAAGTAAGAAGGGGGTGAGAGATTGACCATATATATAAATATCTTTAAAATAGATACCTTTGAAAGCATTTTGAGCACTAAGCTCACGAACGTGAACGAAATTCAACGGAATACGGTTAATACAGCTCAGTTAGTCTGATGTAATCTCGTTCGACATGAGACATTCTGAGCGCAATAGTGGGCGGTTGGATGAACGTATGCGTGTAGAGCTCGATGGACTGGAGTTCGCATTTTTTTTACCCACATTGTGCGTAGGCAAGCCTTCACTAGTCGAGCAGCAACTAACAATCTTCAGACCTAGTTACTATGTCAAAAAACATATTCTAAAACGGAAACGTGAGTGCGTAAACGGAAAATAAAACCGCAACAACACGAATATATTGTCCCACAGAGCAAAACCCCGGAAGCAGCATGTAGCCTTTTCTGGAGGAAAAACTCATTTGGGAAACTGTCATTTTTATGTGTCTCTTGATGGACGCATGGGAAAATATTTGTTGACTTCCGAGATTTCGGTCAAAATGCGACGCGCCCGTTTTCCACTGATGCCACAACAAATGGGTAACATTTGTTTCTGATCCAGTGATTAGTTACGTCCACTCACTCACACGTATCCGTCCATCCACCCGATCAGACCTCAGGTGGATTAGATCATCCACTATCTGAATCAATACCCATTATCCGTTTACGAGGCTACAGTACACTGCGACCGTAGTTGGTGGTGTGCCTGATAGCCAGTCTGTCTATGTTCGGTACAGGGCGAGTCACGTAGCAAGTCCATACGGAAAACACAACTCTATCGCTCTGTATCGAAATAAATCCCAGGTCATTTATTTGCGTTCACATTCCTTAGATGGTGCTTTAGATCAGTTCATCCGACTGAGGGCATTCGAGCAAACGATGTTACGATAGAGACATGACCGGTATCAGTGCATAAGAGGCTAAACGGTCGAGAATCGACAATCTAAGGTCAGCAGCTATCCGCTACGCAGAGACGTAGAGACTGAACTGCGTTAACCCCACCCACGTATTTCATTTTAGACCCCACAAAGCTTTGTGAACCTGGTAGTCCATCCATCTATAGAAATCACATCGCTGTGATCGCCTATGAAAATATCTTGAGGGATTGGTTCCATACATCAACATTTTACCGGGGAACGCAAACACGCAATTCTTACTACAAACTTAGAATCCCAAATACAGAAAACTAGCTAACTAATATCATCATTTTATCACTAATTCAAGTATTAAGTATTTGGAAGAGTTATCGAGGAGAAGATGTGGTGCAGTTATTCCAAGCGTTTAGCTCACGGCAGAATTACCGCTCATGAAAGTCGACCGAGCACGGTGATCAGAATACTTCGTTTTTGCCGAGTTATTTCCATTGTACCCTTGCCATGATAGCACATCTCTTTCCCCGGTTTTGCAAAACACAACGTGTTTTCGGGAAATGATTAAAGAGTGCAAACATGCCAGTTCCCGGGACCACTTTGGGCATAATCGTGTTCCAGAAATGGACATCACTCCTCGTTACGAAGCTGTGGTCGTTTGATCTTTATCAAATCGGTTTAGTCTTGCCCTCATTAGAGAACTGGGGGGAAAACACATTTTTGCGTACATAGCAGCCAATTTTAGCATCTGTTTATTATGCCGTAGGGATTCAACTGCTGAATCTATGCATTTTTCGAAATTTTCTCCACACCGATGCGCACACCCGCGTGGCTGTCAACATCGTCGTTTGCTACTCACAAAAATGGCTAACTTTACAGTGTGAAGTTGGTTGACATCTTGTGAGATATAAAATTGGAATCTGGTGCCCGAATGCATTCCGAAAAACGGCGTAGTTTGTTCCTGCGTCCGACTCGGAACGGATACAAATTGTAGATGCGTTATGTCATGCATCAACCATATTGCTTTTCTCCTCGGTAATCCGTACCCAATTGGTAATATACACTTCAAAACGTATAAGAACTTTCAAGTGTTTTGCGAACGGGGAAAATGATGCTGGTATTAATAATAATAACAATAATAATAATAATAATAATAATAATACTCGTAATTCACGGTATGCTGGTCGATCTAATTATGTGTCATAACCAGACACCACGCACACGCACACACACATAGTTCTAGCAGATGCAACCTGTTGTGAAAATTGTGCTAATTCACCCCTGAATTCGAGGGTACGAACCAATGAACTCTTGTGCACGCACTTTTTTCCGGCGCCAGTCGCGTAATTAAAACGGTCGGAATAAAAAGAGGCTCATCATCCGTGTTTGCAGCATCTGGGCCGAACGTAGCTCGTTGAACAGTATAGTCATCGGGATTAACATTCGTTCTATCTTGCCCTTGTATGCAAGAGAAACTCTACACAGAACGTGGGACCAAACTAACGAATCAAACCTATCACGTCCAAGACTCGCAGAGCCCTCAGTTTCGAATCCCGATCTTGGCTGGTTCCCGTTCGATACAAGCAAACAGCTCATTCCTGTTGATACCATGTCCCCGCGTAGCCTTCATGTTTGCTCTGACGAACGAAATATGGTAGGTCTTTTGACGCGATCAGGAGAATACTTGCTCTACTGATTCTCATAACGTGTCAGGTTTATTTTTTTTCCTGGAGATTGTACTGCACTTCATCCATGTGGCATTGGCTTTTTTGAGGTATCCATGCTGATTTCCGCTGTCACAATATGCATAACTTTTGTCTACTACATACATTCCGCATTCTGTGGAATGTAATTTTTAATACACCGTGGTAAATGGTGGTAAATGTACGCACATGGGCACGCACATATATCTTGGATCAATGAAAACATGTAGCACTTTTTTTATTTTTAGGTCTATCATCACTCGCAATTGCTCTCCTATTCAGATAATGAAACCATAACGAAGGAGCAGAAGAAATAGACATGATGATTGCGCGTAGACAGAGAGTTTTGGTCTCACAGATGCGTCGGATCGGGAAACGGATGGTCAGTTTACATTCGGTTTATGTTGTTATGGAATGATTTAATTCATCCAGTATCTAACGAGGTTAATTTTAAAGATTGAAGAAACCATGCCATTGCGTTCGGTTTTCGTAAAAGATCTCAAACGTGGTTTATTTTACCGATTCGCGATTCATCATCAAACCAATAAACGAAACTAAAAGTTTTCCTTACTGGTATTGTGGCATTTTCCAAGTGTGTCACTGCCAGTGCTTCATGAGCAAGGAGATATTGTTCCGCATCGTGGAAGTTGTGCTTCGTGTCCTAACACGCGTTCACCGTAGGGTATTTTAGCAAAACATCTGTCCGGGAAAAAAGAAGAATAAATTTGAAGAAAACGGGATTTTGAGACGCGAAAGAGCTCTATGATACGAAGAATGATTTAATGAGAAGGCCATTGTATAAAAGAAACCGTGAGGTTATCGGAGTTTTCATAAGATGGCTCAGTGGGTTAGAATGATGATGATGATGATGATGATGATGATGATGATGATGATGATGATGATGATGATGATGATGATGATTGTGATGCTGATGTTGGTGATGACGATGATGATGATGATGATGATGATGGTGATGATGGTGATTATGATTATGATTATGATGATGATGATGATTATGATGATTATGATGATGATGTTGGTGATTACGATGATGATGATGATGATGGTGATGATGATGATGATGATGATGATGGTGACGATGGTGATGATGATTCGGATGATGATGATGATGATGATGATTCGGATGATGATGATG